AGGAAAGAAAAAAGATAAATCTGACTAAAACCAAAACTGAGACATACTCAATTCTCCAGAATATTACATCAGTGGCATTAAAATCTGCTAAGATTGGGACCATGAGAAGCCATGTGTCTTAGACACTTTATCTTCCAACGAGTTGTGCAAGTAACTCGATTTCATCTGAAAAGGACAGAAGAAGCTTGGTTAGCACAGCGTAAGAAGATTTATTAGAGCCTAGATTGAAGCTTTGTATCTGGTGAAATGTTACACTTGATAACTATAGAAGTGAGTAAGTGTATCTGAAGGAATAATACATATTTGAATATTCATTTACTGTAAGTCTTCTGCAGTTTTGGACTAAAATGTGAACATAGAAACTTGGTCATCTCTGCTGTACCATTGATACAGTGAGATGCCAATTCCTGTTCTCAGTGGTTTCCACATGCTCCTGCCTAAGGATCCTTCAGCTGTGTAAAGGCATTGTTGGATATACCCAAACAGTCTTGGTTATGAACCTGTATTTTTAGGCAGCCTGTAAACTATCCCTGACAGCATTCTGCTAGTGCAGACTGGAGCAAATAGAACTGAAGGTGTGCAGAAATTGGAAATGAGTGGGAGATAGAAGTGAAAAAGATTGACAATATGGTAGAAGAGATCACAAAGAGTAAACTAACTTAATGCCTTATTAGAAAAAATATCTTTACTAGGTGAAGTTGTGTAAAGAACTGTCCTGTCATTTCAGTGCAGTTCACAGAATGAGCTTTAGACTCTTTACAAATCCTGATATCTGAAGCTTTTTGTCAGTTTTTACTGAAAATATTATTGCTCCATCTCAGGTGTATTTAATGATATTCATCTATCTCCTGCAAGTGAAAACTTGCTTCTAATAAACTTTTTATAGACACTAGAAAAAAAGATGGCTTAATGGAAACTGGGCTGATGTTTGTGGCTATCTAGCACAACTGTCTTACTTGCTGGAAATTCCTTTGTATAGTTGGAAACCACTGAAGAATTAGCAAAGCTGTTGTCTTAACTCCATGATGTGCCAGGTTGGCTTCTTGCTCTGTTCAAGCAAATGCAAGGAATTTTCACTACATCTCTTTCTCATACTTTACATTTTGATTTTTGAGTAAAATGTAATACTTTTATTTAAAACAAACCAAAAAAGGTAGATGAGGCCTTAAAAAAAAAAAAAAAACAGAGAAAGAAACATCATTCCAGTAATTTGTATACTGACAGATTCCAAATATTGACACACCTCAAATGGGAACATCTGTAGGTCCTCTGCAATGTGTGAGGCAAAATGCACCTGTAAAGACACAGCTTGAGGTTGCCTTAAAATAGAAGCTGTTGATGATCTTTTATTTGTGTACTGACTTTGCAAATAAGTAACCTCTTTAGAAGCCCATAGAAGGCATCTGTTCATGTCATGTATGCAGTATTTTCTACAAACTTGTGTTCCTATGGAGAACTTGTACGCTTACTTTTCCAGTGTCTGTGGTTGTACTAGAAGGATATATGGGGAGACTTTTTAAAAATGAAAAAAAAAAGAAACATATCACTCGTCTAAAACTTAGTCCTCTGTTCGTGGTTGTTGAATGTACACTATGTCTAAATTATGGTACAGTAGTCACCAAATCTCTCTGAGCCATTGGTACTTCAGCTGCACTCTGTAACTACCAACTTTATTTTATATCAATAATTGTGTATGTTGGAAGCATGATACTCATAAACATGGGAACTTGGGGTGGTGGGAAGAGCATCTGCCCCTTCTGTTAGATGCACCAGCTGCTTAGTTCTGATCTGCTGCAAGGGTGTAACAAGGTAAGTTTATGCAACAGCCTGAAGCTTCAACTGGTTTTTGTAGTCAAAAGCTAATTGCATAGAGTATAGTATGGTTTAAGGGTACCAGTTAGCTCTAGAAATGAGCTAGCCTGGGTATGCCAGGCAATCTAGCTGCGGCATATAATTTAGTATGGTCTGCTCCTCTGCAGTTTCCAATGTAGCCATATGCCCAGAGTGCTGCCACTGAACTCGTAAGAGTCACCTGTTTGGAGCACAGTGGTATTTGTGACACCCAACTAAACCCTTCCTGATAGTTTTCTGAAAACATGAATGTTGAACTGATCATACCCTTTTTTTTTAATTATATTCTTTAATTGTTAAACTATGAAACTTGCAGCAAAACAAGTGTGGTCTGAGATAAACAATGTTAGATCTGTAAAGAGCTGCCAACACTTCATTATGTTTTGTTCATAATATATCCTATAGCTATTGCTTCTGAGTCTTGTAACTGAAACACTTTTACATGGCATATGGTTTTAGTTTTCAAAGAGCTTTGTCCTATATCCTGTATATTTTCCATTCACTTATGAAATTTGCTTGATCTTAAGAACTTGGCCCGATTCTGTCCTGGCACTTGTGAAACATTAAATTGTTGCTGTTTCAGACATTTGAAAGCTTCCTTAGTTTTGTGGAGAAGGGCATACTTAGGTATAAATCTTCCCACAGCATCGTGCCCCGGAGTGTCTTTTATCTGCATCTCCCTAGTGCCAACCAGCTCTTAACAAAAACTGTAACTTCACTGTGTAAGTTGTTCACAGACACAGCGCAAAATCCCTTGTAGTAATTTTCTTTTCAATGAGGCTTGGAAGTACCCACTTTTAAGATCATAGTGAGCTGAACGGAATATGGAACTTAAATTTTCAGGAGGAGTGGAGTTGTTTTTGTGGTGGCTTTATTTTACTCTCCTTTTCCCAGCCCCCAGTTCGAAAGGGGAAATGTTTATGAAGGCACCTTGTATGCCTGACTGCTCACTCTGTAACAAAAGGCTTACCTATAGCCACATCTTTCTGTGCCAGACTTAAACAGTACAAACTGGTTCATGTTCACTGTGAGTAATGACAAGAGACGAGGAAGTGGATTTCAGCAATACAATGTTTTGGTGATTGGGAGGTTCCCTGAGATTTTATTGCAAATGAATCCTGTGAAGAAGAGGGAAACAGGTCCCAGGCACAGAGTTATGAATGATTGACTGAATTTTCATCTGGTGGTAGAGAAAAAAGAGCATTTCTGCTCATGCTTTTGTTTTGAAAGGGGAGGAGGAGAAATTGAAACATTCAGAATAGAAAATTAATGATAACTTGGGCCATGACTCGCTTAGGGAAATGTGTCCTTTTCCTGTTGTGTTGCCACTGAAGATACTGTAAGTGATGGGAATAAGATGTTTCAAGAACTTTAAAAACAGATGCCTGTAGAAATACTGAAACTTTTAGGGAAAACACTGTTCTAAATCTTGGTTTCCTTTTCATCCTAAACCATCAAGCCCAGTTACAGATTGTGTTATGAACAGCTTCAGGGAGCTGAAATGCCCTCTTGTGTCTGAGGGGAAGGAGGCTTTTGAATTCAAATAACATTGCGGTCTGTTTAATAGCTGAGCACGGAAAGACAGAAAGTGACAAAGGCAAGTTCCTGTGAATTTGTAATATGGCTGTCTTTCCAGTTTCCTCTTAAAAACCGATAATGTGTTTTGAAAGAGTCAGCAAAGATGCAGCCTGGTAACACAGCCTGACTTTTTTCATGGTGGGGATACGTGCCCCTTCTTAAATTCTCACCACTGTTGCCCATGCTCCTGCAGGAGCGGCATTTACCCGCACAAGCTGCTGTCACGTCCACACTCTCGCCTGCAGAGTGGTGAGTTTAAGACCTTCAGCTGTAGAGATCTTGGCACTGCTCTCACCAGGTGTTTCCAGCCCTTTCCAAGCTCACAGCAGATAATGTGGCAGACTATATAAAATCATCATCTTGCAGCCCGCCCTCTAAACCAGGAATTTAATACCCACTTTCTTCAGCAATTTAAAACTTCACTTTAAGAAAAGGAAGCCTGGACTTGCTGCCAAAATGTGTGTTAAAAATGACCTTGAAGAATGGCCTGGAATGAGGGGGCTGTGTAACTGTTTTTTCTCCTGTTGTCAAGAGGGAATGTGTGTGGAACAGTTGCTTAGGAAAGTCTTTCTGAGAAATAAAATCACTGATGATCCTAATTCTATTGAGATGATTGTCAGTGATGCTGCTACTTTATATTACCATTCACAGTCTATAAAGGAAAAGAAATCGAATCCCCTGAGAACTTAAACACTGTCCGATAGTTACTATTTTGAAAGCCAGCACTTGTCAACAATTATCATTCGGTGTTATCTGAGAAGCAGTGCCGCCCATATATTTAGAAACTGTGGCAGCTGTTTGAAAATCTGGTAGTCATTTTTAATCACCAATGGTTTACAGACTAGAGTTTTGTTTTACCTAATATAAAACCATGGCTTTTTCCTTTTTCCTACCATCATTTGAGACTAACCTCAGTTTCTCCCTAATCTTTCCTGTCCCCAAACCTTGCTAGAAAAGAATTAAGAACTAGCAATAAATGTTTTTCCTCCTGCCCCAATTTTTTTGCAAAAGAAGTAAATTTTGAAGTCTCAGAAATGTAAAGGAGGTTGTCTTGTAGTTTTTTTGCATTATGGTTTGTACACAAACATATCAGGGTCTCGCTGTAGCAGTCACTGAATAAAAAAAATTATGTCCTGCTCCAGTGCTCAAACTGCACTCTGGCTAGGCTTTCCTAACCAAAAAATCAAGTTTGTTGCAGGTCAGGATCCAGGAGCTAGAGCTACTTACTGCAGCAATAAGGAACGGAACTCCAAGAGAATTTCCTGAAGTCAGTGAACCAGTGCGTTGCTGAACACTGCTGGAAAAATAACCCTCCATTTGTTGTTCTCAGACAAAAATTGTGCTAATCACTACCACAGGATGGTCTGTGCAGTGACAGAGCTGAAAATCCAAAGCAGTTAATGCCCTGTCAGGTAAGAAAATGTAACATGTGAGGTACTCTCTAGAAAAAGGCAACCTTTATCATAACCAGGTTCTATGACATTATTTGAAAGCATTAGAAAGCTAGAAGTGTATAATGAAGTTGTGCCTAAAACCCACTCCAGGACAAAATACAGCCTAAGACTACAGTCTGGTTAAGATTACTTTTGTTTCATCTCAAAAAACCAACTTTTATTTTGCATAACTTGAAGTACAGCATTCAAATTAATCTTCAATGTGTATAGGGGCAACAGGATTAAAAATTGGTCTTTCCTTCTTTGATTGTATCTTACCATAAGTGACTTCAAAATCTTTCTTGGTACCATTCAAGCTTTCTAGATTTCCACTCTTTACATCATATCCTAGTGCAGAGAGCTTTTTAATTCGGTACTGAACAATTTGTGTTGTCAACTCCAGCACCATTGGTGTCTCTCTAATCTGTGCTACAGAAATTCCTTCCTTCAGTAGTCCTTCAAGTCTTTCTTCCAAAACTGGAACAGAATAGTAGAGGAGGGCTGGGCATTTCAGCACTAGTTCTTTTAGTTCTTGATCACTGCAATTAAAGACATTTTTGGAAAAAAGCATACTCTTCTGCATAGTAGTAGAATTAAGTTGAAAAATGAAGCCTTTAAGTTTAGACAGCAGCTGTAGAACTTCATGGTCAGTGAAGTCATTCTTCTGGAGAAATTCCAAGTTCTCCTGGATTGTGGTGGAGGTATTTAATAAAATAAATGGATTTTGGCTCAATAGTTTCAGTATCCAGATCTTCATATTTGCTTCAGAACCTCCTAAATTTAAATAACTTCTTTGTAATGTCTCTATCACATTTTTGTTTCTCTCAACAGGATTATAAAAAATATTGGGTGCGCTTGTCAAGAACCTGGTGATTATATTATTCTTAAGTCCTAGCTCTTGAAAAAATGTTATGTTTGCTTTCTGATTCTGGTGATATTTGGTAGTAAAAAAAGACTCTGGAAATTGCTCTATTAATTTAATCAGCTGTTTTTCATTCTGGCATACTAATTGCCACAGAGCTCTTTGAGAGTTTATCTCTTCAGGGGTGCGGAGAATTGCCTCTGGGCAGCGTTCTAAAATGTTGGCTACAGCGGTTTCATCTGCTCCCATTTCTTGTAAGATACCAGCAATTTCTTTAACATAGGCCACATCCTGGAGAAGGACCCATTCCTTCAGTCTGCGTATCTTCTTAATGTCAACTGACAAACTGTAGAGACTCTCAATGGTTTTTTTATTTTCCTCTCTTGACTTTGTATCGGTTGTGTAACTGGAATGTATTAGGAAGCTCCTGCTTGCTACTTCAGGCCATACTGATGAAAATATCAATCCTGGGTTGCAGCGCTGAGATCTTGTCGACAGAAGAGCGAATGTGTCTTTTGCAGCGTGAGTGACTCCTCTTAACATCATGGAAGTCAGCCCTGTGGAGACAGAACAATGGTAAGAAAACACATTTAAAGAATTAGTTAATGCTCAGAATCGTTGATGTTTAGACAGAGCTGGCATAAGAAATTACTCTCACCTATGCTTTTGTTACTAGCACAAAATCCAGCTTTCACATGAAAGCGAGGGAGGGGAATATTTTTGAAAGGTTAATGTTCTGACAAATGTGTCACTGGAACAGTAATGTGTCTGCAACAGGCCTGATGTAGGGGCAGTGCTCTGTCCATATAAAAGCTTGCAGTCATACGAGATCCAAACTGTCAGCCATTTTCTGCAGCTAACATTGTTATTACATTACAGATCGCTCACACCATACGAGAAAAATGATTCACCCAATTTCATTTGACAGTCATCCCACTAAACTAATAAAAAAAGGCAGCTTAAATATCTTTCTTAACTCTTATGAAGGTCTTTGCTTGAACTTCTCAAGCATCATTTGGAGTGTGACTTGTTCCTTCATGTGTCAGACACCCCCTGCTCAGTGCTGCTTCAGCAGCAGTTCGTAGCCTAACTTTATTTTGAAATCATTGTTATTAAGGAAAAAAAACATCACAGAAACCTTTATGTATGTGTTTTTCACTAGCCAAGTCTGCTAATTGAGTTCTGAATAAGCACACTGGTATTTTGGGGGAGGAAGCAAGTACACCGTAACATTTCCAGGCGTTTGCTTGCCTCTCCCAGCACCTACTTTTCTACAGCTGCTCTTTGCACCAATGCCTTATTTCTGCCTCCAGGTCACTTTTGTTGATGCCAGCCACCCCCAGTAGGCAGACTCCTTGTGGAATAGGTGTGTGGCGGTATTGGAGTCCACAGGTAGCTGTGGGCAACCCCACACCTCACCTTTGCTCAAACTGGCTGCTAGGTATCACCAACAGCATGTGCGCTGTCACCTGCTCTGCAGTGGCCAAAGGAGCCGCAGCAGTCAAACAGAGATATCATTAAGTGTATCTTTAACTTCCTAGGTGGTGTTTTCATAACAACCCTTTGGAAGCACTGAGTCTGAAAGGGAGAAGTGCTGATCTGTGAAATACTCAGCAAATGGCTGCTGCTGGTAACATGCTCAAATTGAAAATAAGAAAAAAAATACAATTTTGCATTTGACAGTTCTGTTTGGACAGTTGCTTTCACCTCTTCATAAGTATAGCATGCTTCAAAAAGTACCTACATTAGCATTCTGTTAAATTACTTTGGTTGCTTTGTTTTTTTTCAGAAGAGAAATTACTGTTATGATAATGCAGTCTAATCTACAGAACAGACTGAGAAACCTATTGTTGGAACAGCTATACAAGATTCCTAGAATCTATAGTCCGTCTTCTAAGAAAATACCTGGTTTGTTTAGAGAATTTGATAGATCCTCTGTCTAGTTCCCAGGTAACACTAAATATTTTCTAGAGGTAAAACGCTATCTCAAGAAAGTGTACCTTTGCTTTTAGGTTGCTTTTTTATGCTTCTAAAAGCTGGACTTGTGTTACTACATCATAAACTAACAGAATAATTTCCTATATGCAAGCTTATGTTATTAACAGAAGCTGTTTACTGGTGACTTCTTGTTTAGTGTTACTTCAAATCTCTGAGGCAAAATCCAATTGCCTAATGAAGCTGCTTGTGTCATAACCCCAAGGCTGCTTATTTTGTCTTTATAAACTTTGTAACTTGAGAAGTGCTGTCCAGCAAGCCCCACCACAGAACAAGCAATTTTCCCCAACAGCCCTGAAAGCACTGGAAGTGTAGGTAAGTCACAGACGTTTTGTGTGCTGACCTTTCCATGTCCTGAAAAAGTGACTTTTTCAGGGGAATGCAAACTAAAGCCTCTCCTCCACATGCAGGAGACAAAACTGCTTGTGTCTGAGCACAGAATTTAGGGGGTCCAGTCAAAGTAAGTAAATCTCTGAAGGATCAGGACTCTCTTCATTAATGCTTCAGCCCAGCTGGAAACTGCCAGCAAGTATTGTTAAAATTGTTTGGCATGTCAGATGATACAGTACAAACTGGAAAAATAACCATGACTTGCTTTTACATAAATAAGTAAAACAAGTAATCCTGCTCTTAAACAAAATTGCCTTGTGAGTAATGCAGCCATTTAAAATACAGTCATTTTTACTATTTCAGAGCTTTTAAAAAATTCTGATAAATTGTGCCCTTCCATGATCTAACAGGGAAATGATTGTTATGCTCACTTAAAAAAGGTTCTAAGTTTTCTGAAAATTTCTGTCATCAGTCAATTTTTTCTCTGTTGTGAGGATCATCAGAAACAGAATACTGTAAAGGAAGAAAAACTTTATTTGCTAAATAAATGCATTTGACTGGGGTACTCAGGAGCCCATGTAATTAAGCACTATGCAAAATACAACATACAAGAAAAACCATGAAAGAATTTTATGTCATGGTGTTTATAGAAACCGAGGTGATGATTAAGAGTTTATGATTTAGTGTATTTCCAAGTCTATAGGTGACAGTATCACATTTCTGGGGTATGTAACCGATTTCAAGAATTCAAAGTTCTTTTAAAGCTCATGCTGGATCTAATGCATGCTCTAATGTGCAGGACCCCACTGTAACTTTTTACATACTTATGTTGCTGTAGGGATTGTAAATCAATTGAGAGATTAAGAAAAAAAAAAGCCAGCTCAAATGAGATGTTTGCTCTCACTGCCAGCAGCGCCCTCCTATCACCAAGTGTTAGAACAGCAATACGGAAATGAACTAATGTCTATCTGAAAGTACCTGTGATCCTACTTGCTAGAGACCTGTATATACAGAGTAAAGGGGTGCTATAAGTTTCATTATTTAATTTTATCTCATTTAATCTCATTATTTATGAGACCTTCTAAAGCAAATGGATATGAGCATCAACTGGCTGATTCATCCCTCATTTAAATTTCTGAATGTGTGTTTTAAGACTCAAATCTCATGTTTGAAAATTAGCAACCTCTTACGTTGTATTTTTCGACTGCTACTTTGTGCTGGTCACTACCCTTCCCATTGCCTCATCACAGCAAACTTAGTAGGCTCTGGAAATTAAATGAAACTACAGAAAGCCTAGATTGAACTTTGAATTAACCAGGAAGAGTAGGTATCTACGTAGAACAAAGCAGTGTACACAGGATTTGAATGGTCTGTGAAGAAATCTAGGAGGGCGATATGTAGTGGTTTTGTAGATTAATGCACAATAGAGTAAATGTTCATACTTCTGCACTTACAGACAAAAAACCAAATCCCCGTTTTGCATCAGTAGTGGAAATGAGGCAAAGAAGGATTACAAGATATGCTAGATCAACATAAAGCTTTCTAGAAAAAAATACAGAGGATTCTAGAATAATCCAGGTTGGAAGGGACCTCATGTGCTCAAAGCAGTGCTATGAAATAAGACCAGGCTGATTTGTCCATGGATGGAGCCCACCCCGCCTCTCTGGGTTACCTGTTCTACTGCTCAACTGTCCTCATAGGGAAGAAGCTTTTCCCTGTATCTAGAAAAAACATTTGCAAAGTGCTTAAGGACGCACCGCACTATTTAAACCAATGGTCCTCAAGTGGTGCTTTTAGTAGAGAGAAAAAAAAGGTTCTCCATCACACCCTGCTCCCAAAGCCCGGCCAGCTGCAGGATTCCTCTCTCACCCTTTGGACTCCGCTTGGGGGCGGAGCGGCAGGAGGCGAATGCTTTCCTGTAACCAGCACGGGCGCAGAGGCTGGAAGGCCGGCAGGCCGCCGACCGTCCCCGTTACCGTAGCCGGTTATCCCGCTCCTGCTGGAGCCTCCCGGGGCCGACAAGGAGGCCCCGCGCCCAGGGGGGGCCTCGGAGCCGCGCGGCCTCTCCCGCTGCATCCCGCCCGCTCCATCCTCACGGCCGCACGGCTGCCCGGAGCACGGCAGGGCCAGCGCGGCGCCCGCCGGCCCCACAGCGGCGGTGCCCCGCGCCCGCAGAGCGGCCGAGCCCCCGCCCGGCCCCCGCCCGCGCTCACCGGCCTCGCCGCCGCCCGGGCCCCGCCGCCGCTGCCGCCCAGGGGTGGGACGGGGATGTGCCCTGTGCGGGAGGCGGTGACCGGGATTGCAGGCGGCAGGACGTGCCGTCCCACGGCACCCGGAACGCTCGGCGTCGTCTGGTGCAAAATCACACGGGGTTCCATCGCTTGCTAGAGCAGGGTTTGATGGGACTAGAAGATACAGAGGGGTGGATTAAAACAGCTTTCAGAGAGAATTAGAGTGGTATAGAAAAAAAAAATACTTTGACAGTCAATAATTCTGAAGTAGTATGATGGCAAAGAGTCAAACATTTTAAAGTTAAGCTACTTGTGTGCCTGTATTCTGATGGGAAGCAAATTATTAAGAAATTCTTTACAGAGCGGGTAATCAGGCATTGGAATGGGCTACCCAGGCAAGTGGTGGATTCTCCATCCCTGGAGGTTTTTAAGATGAGACTGGATGTGGCACTTAGTGCCATGGTCTGGTAACTGCAGTGGTAGTGGATTAAGGGTTGGACTTGATGATCTCAGAGGTCTTTTCCAACCTAGCTGATTCTATGATTCTATGCTCCTTTTGATTTGGTAACACTGAATGACGATAGGTGGTTTCTCTTACATCATCATCATATTTTTTTCCATATGATCGCTGCCTTATTACAGATTAAAAGAATAAAATTCACATACCAAGCTGTTGGGTTATAGTGTTTTGGCTGGTGGCATTTCAGAACTGTGAAACACAGTTTTGAGCTGTGATGATAAGAACCACCTTCCTCTACCTTATTTTTTTCAGCTATACCTACTTTATTTCTCTTCCAGAGTAACAACTCTACAGTCACATAAATGGTTTCTGCACTAGAAAGATTATGCTAGGGGTGTTTGGAATTTTTGAACTAACTCTGGGTCTGCACAGTCACATCCTTCAGAGAGTGAAAATCTCTGCTGTTCCCTCTGGGAACACTTCTTTTGTCAGCTACATGTTCAGTAATCTGTATTGCATCTGAGAAAAAGATCAGTTGAAGAAGAGAACTGCTACTGAAAGAAACTGTGATGTAGGAACCCGGTTCAGGGTTTGTCTCCTGCATAACAGCTGTTTCAAGAATAGTTAACAATGTTTGTAAATATAATTGCATACAATGATGTTAAAAACAAGCATCTAAAAAATGCTTTCAATTTGTAATACACAATGTATTGGATACTTGATTTTTTATATTTTTGTTGCTTCATGTCTTCATGTTATCTTTTTTCCCTTCTAATTGCTCCCCACTCTCTTGATTTTTGCAATCACTGTCTGGGCTAAATTAGCTAAATTAGCAATTGTTAAAAAATAAGTTATTCACAAGAGAACACAGTAGTGAGGTTTACTTTTATGAGTTCCTTGATTAACTGTGATTCTGTTTTCTTTTCCAACTAACTTGGAGAGACTCTTCCCTTGAGAGTAGACATTTTAATTAATACATTCTTCACCTTCCTTCCACTTCTAAATCAAGAACAAACTGTCTAGCATAGAAGGTATGGCTAGAGCCAAAGAGTGTTTTGACATAATGATACGCTAATGATATACTACGGTTGTTATTTAGCCTGTAGCAACAAACAGCTTACAGGGTGATGGTTTTCATGGTTGCAATTTGCTTATGAAGCCATAGGGTCTAGTGAGGAAGGGCTGCTTCCACCTCAGTATTCCCTCAAAGGCAGATTGGTTGATGCTGGACTTTATTCAGGGCCATCTTCAGTGTGGCAGCCTTGTGGGAGGCTAGCAGGGAACATAAAGAGTATGAATGAGCAGTTTAAAAGTTGAAATAAAAACTATATTGTGAGGTGACTTTCCTTGAAAATAAGAACTCTACTTCTCTAATGTGCTCAAAAATTACAGAATTCAAATGAGTTTGACAGACAGTGGTCATTAACAACCAAATTTTCTTTTTCTATTTTATTTCTTTGACAATTATATACCCAATGTTTGGCATTTCTTAAGGATAAAAATTAAACAAAATAAACCAAAAAACAGGCATGGAAGAATGTAATTTTTATTAGTTGATAAAAGAATGTTCAACTTTACAATGCCCCAAACTGCTCCAACTTTTGAGTTGCAGGAAGGGTGTATATGACAGGATCCCATATATTCTTCTTGGACCAGAATGATGAGCTGTGGAATATGATGTTCTACATATAACAAAGTAATAATTGAAAAACATTTTATTTTATGCTATTGTTAAAGTCAGTGCTTAAGAACTGTTCAGCCTCCATACTTTTTAGAGAGAAATTTTGAGTAAGATCAAATAGAAAGGGATTCTAATCATGGCTGGGTCCTTTGCTGCTATCATACCTTGATCATTGATGACATTTTCAACCTGCTGAAAGGAGCTTGTAGCCAGGTGGGGGTCGGCCTCTTCTCCCAGCAACTAGTGACAGAGCCTCCAGCTGCACCAGGGGAAGTTCAGGTTGGACATTGGGGAGAATTTCTTCATAGAAAGAATTGTTAAACATTGGAATGGACTGGCCAGGGCAGTGGTGGACTCACCATCCCTGGAGGTGTTCAAGAAATGACTGGACACGACACTTAGTGCTATGGTCTAGTTGACAAGGAGATCGGTCAAAGATTGGACTTGATGATCTTAGAGGTCTTTTCCAAGCTAAATGATTCTGTGATTCTGTTACTCTGTTTATTAAGTCATTCAAAGTGAGGAAAGAAAAGTGTGAAGGGACTTTGTTGACTTGACATATACTTTCTGTGTGTGTTAGCAGAAAAAATATTTTAGGAGAAAGAAAAACTACAGTTCTTAAAGTACCAGTCTGGTTCTTCCGGAGGGCAAGAAAAGTCAGTACTGCTGATTAGAGTCCTCTGTCTTTTCCGTGAGACATTATTTCCAATGGCAACACTTGCTGTTACTACCCACTTGTCTGTGAACACCCTGGAAGCTGTAGATTTGAATTGCAATCCACAGCTGTCCTGTAAAGACTAGAAATGGCTCTACTGAGTCCTATCAGTGTGATGCCTCCATCAGCTGCTGGCCGTGCCCCGAGTAACCCCGGAGCAGGTACAGGGAAACCTGCTGTGTAGGCAGCACCCAGACCGTGTTTTGACCTCTGTAATTAAAAGACGTGAGATATTCACCATTTACTGATAATGAGTTTAGATGCAGCGCTGGAGAGACAACTCATTCTGCTGCTTTCAAGTGTGTTTGGTTGTGGCAGCACCGCACAGCCGAGCCGCTCTCTCTTGCCCGTGGGGGTTTCTGTCCAGCACTTTTGCCCAGCCCTTCACGGCTGCAGCAGGCACCGAGACTTCGGCCTGTTTCACAGAATCACGTAACTGGAAGGACCCTCTGGAGATCCTGCGGTCCAACATCTGCTCCCTACGCACACGCTTATATAAGCGCCCCGCCTGTTTCCCGCGGGATGGGATGGGACGTAGTGCGCTGGGATCGGTGGGCACCGCCCGGGGGTGTGAGCGGGGCCGCGCCGCCGCCTGTGCGCGCCCCCGCCGAGGGCGCGCGCGCGGCGCTATACATAACAGGCCAGCGGGCGCGCGACGCGTGCGCGTCCCGGCAGGAACCGGCGCCACTAAGAGCCGCCTCGCGGCCCCGTGCTCATCCGGGTCCCGCCCCCCCGACCCCCGGGGGGGGGGGGCCAGCCCGCGGTCTCCGCCCTCCCACCGCGGCCCGCCGACCCCGCGCCGCCCCAGCGGGTGGGATTCCCGCTGGGATCGCGGGCTCTGCGAGCCGCCTCCCGGCCCGGCGCGGGCGCGGGCCCGCCCGGTCCAGCCGTCCGCCCCCCCGGGGCCGGCGGTATCGAACACACCTCAGAAACGTGAGGGCCGGCAGTCACGTGGGGTCGCCGTCGGCCAATGGGCGGCGGGGGGCGGGGCGGAGCGCCCGGCGCAGCCCCGCGCCCGGCGCAGTCACAGGGCGAGCGGCGAGGAGGCGGCGGCGGCACGGACGGCGCTTTCCGTGGGCACGGCGCGCTCACCGCCCCGCAGCCACCGCCGGACACAGCGCTTCCTCCCTCCCTCCCTCCCTTCGGCCCCGCTCTCCCCGGCGCGGGGGCCCCGCGGGGTGATGCGTCCCCGCTGGGTGGCCGCTCCCGCCGTGTCCGCCGGGTCCTAGAACCACCCGCAAGCGAGGCCCCGCGGGCCGCCCGTCCGTGCTCGCCCGGCGGCGCCGGGCCATGAGCGCCCCCGCGGGCGGCAGCGGTTCCCGCTGAGCGCCCGCGCCCGGCATGGGTGTGAACGCCGTACACTGGTTCCGCAAGGGGCTGCGGCTCCACGACAACCCGGCGCTGCGGGAATGCATCCAGGGCGCCGACACGGTGCGCTGCGTCTACATCCTGGACCCCTGGTTCGCCGGCTCCTCCAACGTGGGCATCAACAGGTGGCGGTGAGTGCGGGGCGCCGCGGGGCCCTAATCCCCGCGTTATGTATGCGGTCACGCTGCCTCCCCACCATCCCCTCCCCTCCGCACCCGATTGGGCCGCCGCCAGCGCCGGCTTCCCCTGCCCGCGCGCCCTCCCCGCGGCCCCGCCGCTGTTACGTATCCGGCCCTGCGCCCGCCCGGACCGCGGCGCCCGGACAGGGAGCGGCGAGAAGGAGCCGGGCAGTGCGGGGCCGGAGGGCCGTGGGCTCCCGGGGAAGGGGGTCCTTGTGCCCGGTCCCTCGCCCGCTGATGCCCGCTGGTCCCGTGGGGAGCAGCCCGGAGGCCTTGCACTGTCTCGGGACCTCTGGGCAGCCGGGAACCTCAGGGCGACTTCGCCAGCCCCAGGGCGACTCCGTCCCGGAAAAACTGTGAAGCTGCTCGCTTAGCTCAAAAAGCAATTTCTCAGAGTAGCGTTCCTGCAGGGAAGAATATCTTGAGTTGGAAGGGACACAAAAGGATCTCAGA